GCCCAGGGCTAGTTCGAGGCTGCTCGATTTCTCGGCCTGTCCCGGTTCTCTCCGGAGAGGCTTCGGCCCCGGCCCCCGGGGAGAGCTGCTGTGGGACGTACCTGCAGCCCTGTCCTGCAGGTCCAGCAGTGCTGCGTAGGTCATGGCCCTCAGCTGTGTGTGGATGGAGAGCCCCACGCCCCGGCTGAGCCCTGCAGGGGCCACAGAACCACCAAGGTTGGAAACGACCTTTATGATCATCAGGTCCAGCCCATGACCTGACCCCACCACATCAGCCAGACCATGGCACTAAGTGCCACATGCAGCCTTCCCTTAAACATACCCAGGGATGGTGCCTCCACCACTTCCCTGGGAAGTCCTTTCCAGTGTCTGTTCACCCTTCCATCAGGAAGTGCTTCCTGATATCCAACCTAAACCTCCCCTGCAGCAGCTGGAGGCCAGGCCCTCTTGTCTTCTTGCTGGTTCGGGGACAAAGACCCCAACCCCCACCTGACTCCAACCTCCCCTCAGGTAGGACACCCCCTTGGCAGCTCATCCCGCTGGGAAGCTCAGCCTGCCCGTCCCCGGCGCAGTGCTTACCCCCCAGGTCGGAGATGATCTGCTGTCGAGGCACCTCAAACTGGTCTACCACCATCTGCACGCCCTGCCAGGAGAGAGGAGCTGCTGGGCTGGGGCCGGGAGCCGCCGGGGGGGGGAAAAGAAGCCCCACGTTGCCCTTCCAAGTACGTTTTGAACGCGTCTCCTCCTCTCCCTTCCCAAACTGCTCCGTGAGGGAAGCACCGCCGTCCCCGGGTTACACCCCATGCTGGGACATGGAGGAGGGGAGGGGGGGAAAGCCACTGAGGGACCCACCTGGGGGACGTTGGCGATGTGCTGCCCCAGGGTGTGCAGGGTGGCCGGCACAACCCCCAGCCCCAGCTCCATCTGCCCCTTCACCCTCTGGCTGGTGACCAAGGCGCAGGTGACACTGGTCCTGCCGGGGACGAGCGGGCGGTGACGGGGCTGCTCGTTAGAGCCACCCAGCCCCTTCCCCGTGGGGAACCGGGTTCCCCGCGGCCCTGGGGACTCACAGGATGACGAGGGAGGTGAGGGACAGGCAGGCCAGCAGGCAGCGGCGGCGACAGCCCAGCGAGCGCTGGTGGACGCGCAGGCGGCCCCCGCAGCGCCGGCGGCTCCGGCAGTAGCAGCAGCACATCCCGGCCACCGGCACGGCCACGGTGAAGAGCAGGGCCACGGCGGCACAGACAACATAGCCCAGCTCGTACTGCACCACCTGCAAGGGAAAGCCTGGTCGGTACCCGGCTTGCAGGGTGCTCCGGGTGTCCCGTCCCACTGGGTGCCATCCCATCCCATGGGAACCCCAGTGTCCCAGCTCACCTGTGATGTCCGCACTGAGCTGGGGTCGTTCAGGGCTGCCCTGAGCAGCTCTGCAAGAGAAACGGTGGTGCTGGTCGAAGGGGTCCCACCGAGGCACCCCCAGCCCTGCCCAGGCAGAAGGGCCAGGGTGGAGAAACCCCAGAGTAGCCCAGGACACAGGGAATGCAGCTGGCAAACCCCTGGTGGTGCTGGCACCCGTGGTGGTGGGATCCCAGCACTCATGGCAGTGGGATCTGGGAACCCGTGGTGCTACAATCCTGGTACCCATGGCGGTGGGATCCTGGTACCCATGGTGGTGGGATCCCAGCACCCACGGCAGTGGGATCCTGGTACCCATGGTGGTGGGATCCCAGCACCCACGGCAGTGGGATCCTGGTACCCATGGTGGTGGGATCCCAGCACCCACGGCAGTGGGATCCTGGTACCCATGGTGGTGGGATCCCAGCACCCACGGCAGTGGGATCCTGGTACCCATGGTGGTGGGATCCCAGCACCCACGGCAGTGGGATCCTGGTACCCATGGTGGTGGGATCCCAGCACCCACGGCAGTGGGATCCTGGTACCCATGGTGGTGGGATCCCAGCACCCACGGCAGTGGGATCCTGGTACCCATGGTGGTGGGATCCCAGCACCCACGGCAGTGGGATCCAGGCTCAGGACTCACCCGTGGGCAGAGGGTTCTGCTGGATGAGGTCCAGGCAGCGCCGGACGAGGCCGTAGAGGGGGTCGAGGGCGCTGGGCACGCGGTGCAGCGCGGGCACCCGGATCTCGGCGTGCGTGTCGGTGAAGCGCAGGATCCCCCCGGGGCCGGGCAGGTGGCACTGCTGGGTGCCGGCAGGATGCAGCAGCGCCCAGGCCAGCAGCAACCCGGCTGCTCGCATGGTTTTGGAAGCGAGGAGAGAGCCGAGGGGCTCCGTCAGGCTGCGAGAGGGCGCAGGGACATGCCCGGCTCCGGATGGTTCTCCCCGGGAAACCTGCCTGACGGGTCGGCCGCCGCTCAAAGCCCAGACGCTGCCTCGGCTTTTTT